GCATTCTGGGCTTGTCCACTAGAATGAGAGCATTTTCCTAACTTCGGGTCCTAAAAACAGAACTAGCCAAGCAGGGTCGTTTGGACTTCTACCAGAAAGTCTGGTCTCTGAGACCATAAAGTCCACAGTCAGCAGTTTCATGTTGACCATCATAAAAATATGCAGCATAATTGCTTTACTGCATCTTGGCAATTGAGAAATGAGTTATTACTTGCCTCCATAATAAGTCAATATCGTGCAGGTACATGGAAATTTGAATGTTATGTCATACAAACAGAAGAAATAAGTCTAACGAGGCCATGCCACCCTTGAAGTGAACTCTGCTCATTCAGAAAGATCATAGATTATCTAATACAATGACCTGTCCTTGTTAAATGCCAGTATTTCATCATTGAGGCCAGAAACTGAAATTAAAGCTTGTTTTTAATATATAATATCCAAACAAACTCGTAGAATGTACTGCATGAGTGGGATGTAGATTAATAAACTTGGCCTTATTTTGAGATATACAGATGAATCCATTAACTACAAACTATTGAGTTTGAGTTTTAAGTATTTGATGCATCTTAAAAGGATTGAACCATGAATATATAGACTTTTGCATTGGAGTCATTACAGGAAAGTTTACTTAAAATACTTGAGTTTTTCAAGAATGGCCAGATCAAGTTGACAATATTTTAGAAATGTATTTTTAAACTTAAGTTTTTTTGATAATTTCTCCAAAAGACAGTGTGGATTGTTGGCAAACTTTGCAGATGAATTTAAAATCACGAAGATCAGAAAGACTAAAGTAGTTCAATGGGATCTGTGCCTGCATATTATATTTCCATTGATGTTTTTAAATACATTATCGGGTGAGGGTGTTGCTGGCTAGGCAGCATTTATTGCCCATCCCTAATTGCTCAGAGTGCAGTTCAGAGTCAACCACATTGCTGTGGGTCTGGAGTGACATGTAGGCCAGGTAAGGATGGCAGTTTCCTTCCATGAAGGACATAGTGAACCAGATGGGTTTTTCTGATAATCAATAATGGATTCATGGTCGTCTTTAGATTCTTAATTCCAGATATTTTATTGAATTCAACTTCCACCATCTGCTGTAGTGGGATTTGGACCCGGGGCCCCAGAATGTTGTCTAGATCTCTGGATTAGCAGTCCAGTGATAATATCACTAAGGCCATGGCCTCCCCCATGAACATGACAATATGATGGGGCAGTAAGAAGCTTGGTTGGATTTGTCCTGTCTTTGCTGAACTAGCGTATACCTGAGTAATTTTGCATTGTTGCCAGTGTTCTAGCTGTATTAGAACAGCTTAGCTAAGGGCATGGCTGATTCTGCTATACATATCTTGAGTATCGTTTGCTGGAATGTTATCAAAGCCCATGGCCTTCGTCGAGTGAATCAAATCTGCTGGGGACCTCGGGAGGAGGCTGCAATAGAATCATATCTTCAGCCAGAAATACTGAATATGGTTACAAATGATCCAACCTTGACTTAAACACTAGTCTTTATCACCGAGGATGGAATATATTTGTGAAGCCTCCTGCTCCTGTTAGTTATTTAATAGTTGTCCTCCACTCGTGGCTGAATGTGGCAAGGCTGCAAAAATTAGACCTGATCTGTGTTGTCATGCAAGTAGTCCTATTTTGTAGCTTTTACCAGATTGACATCTTGCACTGTTCATTGAACCAGATTTGATCTCCAGTTTGTTGGTAGAATAGGGTATGCTAGTCTATGGGGTTACAGATTATGGCAAATTCTGCTGCTGCTGCTGGTCCATCTGGCCTTATGGATGTCCAGGTTTACGTTTCTAGTTCTATTTTAAATCTATCCAATTTAGCACAATGGTAGTGCCACACAAAATATAATGGTGGGATGTCCTCTGGTGAAGATGAAACTTCACTGCACACAGCCCTTATAGAGGTGGTCCCTCTGACTTGTACTGTCTCGGATGCATCTGCAATATGTAACAAGATATCAAGGTGTAGAGCTGGATGAACACAGCAGGCTGAGCAGGAAGGCTGATGTTTCGGCCCTAGACGGGCCTGCTGTGTTCATTCAGCTCTACACCTTGTTATCTCAGATTCTCCAGCATCTGCAGTTCCTACTATCTCTGTAACAAGATCAAGTAGGTTTTACATTGTGGCTCCTTCACCAGATATAGACCCAATCAAGCAGTTATGAGCCTCCAGAATCCTAGAAGATTAGTCAGTTGTGGTGCAACTGAACCGCACTTGGTGATGCCCTTTGAAGTCTCCCAACCATTGTACATTCTGTGCTGTTACCACCTTGAGTGTTTCCTCCAAGTGGTGTGATTGTTCCTGACTCTCTCTACCACTGCTTCCACCTGTCAGTCCTGGTGATAAATCATACCCAGAGATGGTGTCGGTGTTTCCAATGTTGTCTATCTGTAACACGGGAGTGAGTGTCAGGCTGTTACTTGTCTGTGGGACAGCTGTCCCAATTTTGGGTGCAAGCACACAAGTACCTGCATGCACCACCACCCCCCACCAAATGTGCAAGGGGAATGTCATGATTTCCAGTGTCTCGGTTGAAGTTGGGTCCATCTAGTATCATTCTTTGGACTAAAGTGTTTGCCTTGCAAATCACTTAGTTCTATCAATGTAAGATTCAACCACATTGCCATGTATACCAGACCAGGTAAAGATGACTGATTTCTCCCCCTGATGACTTTGGTAAATTGAATGGGTTTGTGACAAGCAACAGTGGTTTCATGGTTGCCTTTTTACTAGTTTTTATTCCATATTTATTTCTCCAGATATCACTGTCTGCTGTGGTGGGCTTCAGACCTTGTCCCCAGAGCATTAGCTGGGTCTCTGGATTGCTAGTCTTGTGATCCTTTATTGCTATGCTACTGCCTCATCGACAAGGGGACTTGCCATAATAACAATGCAGTTAAACTCTACCCACAATCCGCTCCTACAGCTGTAAAATATCTTGGTTCAATGTTTCTCCAAAGGTGTGTGTTTGCCCAGCAGCAATTAAATTTACAAGCAAAGTCAAACTTTGAATTACTGTGCGCACGTTTCAGTGAAAAGGCTGTGCACAAGAAATGAAAGTTGGAGAGAACGTGGCCTTGGACTGTTGTATTAATAGTAAGTGAGAATAGTTTTATGCATCCTGAAGGTGAACTGATCAGTCTGAGCATGACTGTCCATTCATGTGTTCTGAGCCAAATGATATGCTGTGATGTCACTAGCTATTAAAAAGGAAATCTCAATCCTCTGTGATCATTGTGAAAGCAAAGTTTTTATATAGCCAAAAAACAGCTACTGATAGCAATTCACTTATTTGGTTTTCTTTGACAGGTTGAACACCCTATTCCAGAACAATTCAAGACGGTCTGGAATGGGGAGAAACTGATGACTACAGAAGCAGAAATATCTGGTTAAATACACAATTACTGAGGATGTTTATCTACAGGCATGATCTTAATGTTGCTAGTAATGATGAGCCTGATTAATCTGTAGAAGCAACAAGCTAACTTTCTGCACAATCTACTCTTCAAACTTGTCCTGTCACTCCTCATGAGAGGTCGTTAATCTGCTACAGCATATACCTCAGATGTACTGGGATTAGACTTTCCAGTATAAAATGGCCTAAAGTAGCTGGATTAGAGCATGATGACTGGCCTGAGATTCTAATAGCATTATTGAATTTATGGGAGCAGAACACTGTTTAAGGGCTGGAAACAATTGGAGAGAACTTCTGAGAGTGAGGGCATCATAATGCAATTTTATTCAAGGCTAATGTTGCTGAGTTGTTATTTGCATGGGTGAGAAGTTTTTCTGCTCAGCCTTGCATTAAAATATCTAAAATTGACAATGCATTAATACCATTCTAATCCTAAAAAAATTACCATCAAAGCTAAGGAAGTTCTAATATGCAATGATGTGGTTTTTAATTTGCTTCTTGCCTTGATTATTTATGCTTTGGAGCAATTGTCACTTTTTTAGTTTTTAAATTATAGGTGAAACAATTACTTCATTGCTGAAATTGGCTTTTATCCCTGAAACCACATAGCCTTTTATAGAAGGATCAAATGTGTGAGATTATAAACCCTCCATGGGCCATGAACCAGACCAAAAATTCAGTGCAAAGATCAAAGCACAGTTACAGCACAGATAGGAGGTGGCCACTTGGCCCTTGGCTTTTGTGGATCAGGTTTTGAATAATGAAAGCTGACTTAATGCGTCAGTCTAATTTTTTTTCCAGAACTTAAATGTGAGAACTGAGGTTATTGCAGACTAGCTGTCTTGAAAGCATTCCATAAGTCTTCAAACTTTGAGCATTCCTTGGTGAAAATGTATCCTCCAACATTTTTGTTTTGCTCCATTTTGTACCTTACCAGTATGTTGTCATGTGTTGTACTTCTGCAGTTTGCTTGGCCTAAACTTTTATTTCTAGCACAGTAGTTTTAAGCTGAAGTGGAGACCCACATATGGTTTGTCTTCTGGTTAAAATAACTTTAAAAATTGGAACTTCACTTTTTCCTCAGGGTCTGGTCCTACTGAAATGTGTGTAGCAGCTGTTCAGAATATTGCTGATATGCAGTGCCTGAGTTTTGGTGCTTGCTTTTAGACAGCATTCTTTTTTTTTTAAAAAGTTGTCTAGAACCATTCCATACCCCTGGAGTAAACTTGCTGTTTTATTCCTTTCTGTAATGTTAATTTACTCCACTATTTCAGTGGATGGATTAAATAAGGCTATTTTGTACCAGGATATTAAACATTTCAGCACAGTTGCATTGAGTACTTTCCCCCCAGAATCTTGTCTTGATTTAAAATAAATTCTTCATAATGATTTGCACATTGTGCTTGTTTTCTTCTTATTGCATTTTTTGAAATTAATGGAAGACTGAAAAGTATGTTATGATTTCTGAATGGGCCAGCAAACATTGTGATTGACATACTGTCAGAATTTCTTTTTGGGCTAATTTAAGTGGAAGATTGGGTTGCAAGGCTGCTACAACAAGTCATAGTTAAGATTGAAAGTTTTTTAATTGCCTTGAACTTTGACATTTCATACAAAATGACAATTCAATAGTGAGCTGTTGCATTTAGAGGAAGTTCGAATGCTACTCTATCACAAGGTACCAAGTGCACAGTCAACAACCTATCTTTTGGTGTGAAAACTTAGTATTGTATATCAAATTCAATATTCTGCATAATTTCAGTACCATACAAACGGATCAAATTTGGTTCTTGCTACTTGTGGTTACTATGCTCTTATCAAATTAAAATGCAAAATAAAATTTGCAAACTTTATACAGTGTCTTTTTGAAGTTTATGGTGACTGATCAGCCTTGAAATTAAAACTGGTAAATTGCTGATAAATTGAGGACATCGTGGATTTTTAGGAGCTGCTTTGCGCTTTCATACCCAGCCCAGTCTTGGGATAATTCATTCCCTTAACAGAAATGGATGGATCGATCTAGCATTGACATACCACGGATTTGTCCAATATACAATTTTTGACTGAGATTTTTATCTGTTGTAGACCTTATGAACTCACGAATAGGATAGGTGGGAAGGAAAAGCATTAAGGTGCAGGTGGAGTATGAACTCTTGCCTCTAAGCCTGGAGGACTAGGTTCAGGTCTCATGTTCCAGAGATATGTAATAACATCATAGCACAGGTTGATATTGATGTGAAATTAAAGTAAATCCATGATACTTTAAAAATATCACTTAATTCAAAGCAGCTTAGTATTTAGGAACATTCAAACAAAGCTGGCTAGGTAAAATGCTAGTTTCCTTTAACTGTACAGCTACATGTTCAAGCTGTTTTCTGCCCAACGTGGACTTTGTTCTAAAACCACTTTCTTGGCAATCTTCCCCTTCAACTTGACCAATTAACCTTGATCAGAAAAGTCATTAACCTTGCCCTTGCTTCTGATGGACAATATATCTAATACTTCAATTTTCCTAACCATAGGACTGCCACAGCATAAACCCTATTTTAAATAACATTAATTACTCAAGCAGTTATTTATGACTGTAGCTGGAATCAATGGTGCATCTTCTATACGGAACCTAATTTTGGTTAAGAAAAATGGAATACCTTTCTCTCCCACCCAAAAAAAGTTAAGCTGTTTCTAACTGGAAAGAAATCTACACATGGGAAGCAAACATGTTGTTTACCTCAACTGGGTCATTTCTAGTTACATTGAGCATTTTAATGATTTCCGACATACATCAGAACCAAGCAAAACTCAGATTGTTAGAGAAAGTCTTTTACGATTCAGTGCATTGGAACTGTTACTATGAAAAAAGTGAGTTAAACATAAATCAATGAGCTTCTGCAGAATTTGGGGAAAAAAAAGTCACTTAATCATTGCAAATACTGTAGATAATGAGCCAGTGTTGCAACATTACATCATAGGCATGTGGACTAATTAATCAGTCAATATCCACCAGCTTAGTAAAAGGGTCACTTGAGATGAGGAATTATGTTGGTAATGAACCATTTCTCTGAAAACTGAAGGTGATCACCGTTCACAGTTAGAAATTGCAGTTTGCCTGCTTTGTCCATAGTCTTCAAACCCAACCGATCCTATGGATGAAAAAACAATGATTTTGTAAATGTAAGCAGTGACCGACTATTGTTTCACCCTCAACAGCCAAATAGTGGTTTCTGTCTGATCAAAACCCTTGCCACCATAGCATCACTTTGGCTGAAATTGAGAATTTCAATACAATTACTGCTGGAGCTTTGTCCCACCAACAGCAAAGCAATACAATGTCCATTTCCAAGTAGAGCTTTCATATCTTGCACTGTAGATTTTGAGCAATAAAATCTTTTTCCAAAAGGCCAGAATTAATGTTTATAATAGTGAGGTGTTCTAGTTCAAGTGATTTGCATGCATAGTTCATTATTTTCAATATCACCAGGAAACACTACATTTTGTTCAAATTCCTACAGCTGCCACGTATCCATACGTTAGAATCTGCAGCCTCATGACATATCGCTAAGTTCAACCTTCAATCTGGGAAATCCTTTAATTATTTTTGCTAAACATTCTTAGATAATATCCACTAAAATTCCCTTCAACTTTCTTTCCACAGAATTGTAGTAAATGCCAGTCAAGTTCACAGTATTTCTTCAGATTTCTTTACAATACTAAATGCATGATTGAGAAATTAAACTACTTTTCACTGCAAAATTAAGGCAGTATGCAGTCAAAGTACAGTTTGATACATAAATCCTGCCCCACCATCAGTTCAATCATATCAAGACATTTGGTTGGAGATTTGCCTCTTTTGGCCAAATCCTAATTTTGATTGTTGCTACAAGATTTTTTTATTGCATATTTTTGCTCATCTGTTTTTATAGATGCCAAGTGTGAAGTTTCAAATTTTATCGTTTCCCTCTTGTATGCACAAACTATTTCCTATTATCTATAGTTCTAATTTATCTCAACATGCCTATCTACCTTGCTGTAACTTGCTTTGCATGGATATTTTTGGAACTGGTTTGAGACTTCCAGTCAGATTCAATGGACACGTTATTGAAAAGGGGCAGTCTGTTAGCCTATCATCCTGTTTCCCAAGGAAGACGCCTTTCTATAACACCGCAAAAGGTAATTTGCACAAGTTACATGTTACATGTTACATCTTACCTCTTGATAAAGAACACTCTCCTGCAAGCTGTAAGTGTCTTTGGCCTGGCCAACTTTATAGAAACCAAACCACTGGAACAGAGATGAGATTGACAATTTTATATTGGGTTTGATAAAATTAGACTGCTTATAAAGAAGGCATCATGGATGCTGTAATGCTGTGTCATGGTTTGTGTTTTGAACCAAGATTAAAATTCTTCAGCTTTAATTTTGAAATCCAAGCAAGGTTGTCCTGAGGTTTATATGGATGAACATGCATTTATAGAATAAGAGATATACAGCTCAGAAACAGACCCTTTCGGTCCAACTCGTCCATGCTGACCAGATATCCTACATAAAATCTAGTCCCATTTGGCCCATACCCATCCAGATGCCTTTTAAATGTTGTAATCATATGCACCTCAACCACTTCTTCTGGCAGCTTATTCTATTCACGCACCACTCTCTGCATGAAAAAAGTTGCCCCTTAGGTCCCTTTTTTTTCCCCTCTCACCTTAATCCTATGCCCTCTAGTTTTGGACTCCCCCACCCCAGGGAAAATATCTCACCTATTTACCCTATCCATGCCCCCTCATGATTTTATAAACCTCTACAAGGTCACCCCTCAGCCTCCGACACTCCAGGGAAAATAGCCCCAAGCCTATTCAGTCTCTCCCTATAGCAAACCCTCTAACCCTAGTTACCTCCTTGTAAATCTTTTTTGAACCCTTTCAAGTTTCACAACATCCTTCCTATAGCAGGGTGACCAGAATTGCATACAATACTCCAAAGTGGCCGAACCAATGTCCTGTACGCCCACAACATGACCTCCCAACTCCTATATACTCAATGCACTGACCAATAAAGGCAAGCATACCATGCTTTCTTCACTATCCTATCTACCTGCAACTCCACTTTCAAGGAATTGTGAACCTGACTCCAAGGTCTCTTTATTCAGCAACACTCCCCAGGACTTTACCATTAAGTGTACAAGTCCTGCCCTGATTTGCCTTTCCAAAATGCAGCACCTCACACTTATCTAAATTAAACTCCATCTGCCAGTTCTCCGTCCATCTGATCAAGAGCCGGTTGTACTCTGAGACAACCTTCTTAGCTGTCCACTACACCTCCAATTTTAGTGTCACCTGCAAACTTCCTAACCATACCTCCTACGTTCACATCCAAATCATCTGTATAAACGATGAAAAGCAGTGCACCCAGCGCTGGTATTGCTGCAATTTTTTTAAAAAATCTGGTTCTCATGAAAATTAGTCTTTTATCTTCCATTTCTAGTTTCTGAAAATGTACAGGAGCATAGATTTTCTGTTTGAAGTACAGACATTCAACCTTATGGGGACAAACCCCAGTACTGTAGAATTTATATGCATCCCATATGTGCACCAAAATAGCAGCGAACTGATCATGCAAAATTCCTGGGTTTTTTTTCCATCTTACAAAAGCCACCTAACTCAGGAGGCCAAAGTCCTGACCAATCAGCCAACTTGGATTACTTCTCATTTAATGTTTGGGAGTATTATAAAATTGCCTAACTTGTATATTCAATTGTTATGTCAAACATGGAGAATTGACTTCTGTTGAAAATGTCCATTCGCAGCTGTACCACCTTACATCTACTTCAACCCTAAAGGTGGCCTCACGTGCATATCTTGCTCACAAGAAGTCAAAGGGGATAAATGGGGTTTGTAGGTCTGTGGAGTGAGGAGACCAATTTGCATTTATACAGTGGCTTTAACATAGGTCAAAATTTCCACAGCTCTTTGGGGATAAGTGAAGCAACTGAAGCCTTGGTCAAAGAAATGGTTTTTAATAAAAACCTTGATACGGGAGGCAGAGGTGGAGACAAACAGAAGGAATTAGCAGTGTGGATGATAAAACTGGAGGGAATGAGATGCCGAAGACCAAGAGTGGTACCAAGTAGGATAACTTCACTTATCTGGACATTTGTCATTTTGATAGGCCTATCTATGTTGGCCCTTTTGGTGATGTGGCAAGGGAAGGAACCTTGTTAAAAGAAACAAACTGAGTTATTGAAATTTGTACAGGTTAAATGGATTGGCCATGCTAAATTGCATATGTTGTCCAGGGATAGGGTAGCAGGGTGGGTCACGTCAGATGCTGTTTAGTGGGTCGGTGTGGATTCAATAAACCAAATGGCCTGCTTCCACATTGTGGGGATTCTAAGATTCTATAATTTGGTAAATGAGAAAAGGAAGATTTCAAATGGGGCAGTATTTTCCAAGTACAAATCTGTCAAGTGTGTTTTTCTTTGAAGGGGTGATGTTAGTTTTAAAATAGGGGACGCAGCACTCGAGAAGAAACTGTATGATAAACCAAAATGTGAATACAAACAAAATAAAAATCAATTTAAATACAACTTTTCTGAGGATTGAAGCAAAATTCTATGTCCAATTTACAGCCGCAATAACAGTAAGTCAGGTGAAACATTGAGAGCAAACATTCTCACCTCAGAATCAACTGGATCAACCATGGTATCATTCAAGAATTTCACCATTACAAATTTTTTCAATTTTGTCAGATTCTCCTTGTAGCTTTCATTAATGCCCTGCATCAGAAGTAGAAACAGTAATTGTCTGAATCTCTCTAAAATAGTATTCAAATGCCAGGCTGTAAAAGTATTTGACAACTATATTGCTGCATACTTTGAAACATACCTGCTTCAGAAGTGCTCAGCAACACTAGTCAATGAAATAATGAGCACCAAGATTGGCAACCTATGACACAGGTGTATGAATATAGTGTATTTTGCAGAAATGTAGTTTTGTTTTCAATGTCTGGAGTGATGCAGACACCACCTGGTGGATTCTTAATGCTGTGCTGACATTGCATGGACATTGTTCAACCATACACAGTCGTCATAGGGAGAGGTTGGTAAAGTTTATCTTACGAAGCCCATTGAATACCTACCCTTTCTTGATTAATATCTGCCAAGAAAATACTCTTGTCCCTGTACAGGTCTTCATTCAAGGGATCATGCCAGTACTCTGCCTGCACCAAGCTAACAGGAAAGTAATTGTAAATAAACAGAGTTAGTTAATTCTTAAGCAATTATAGAAATAACTTCCAAATTCATCATCCCTTTTATGGCCAATTGTGGAACTGGTGAGAGGACAACCATGGAAATGGACATCATTGTTAGATCCTTTTATAACTAATCAGTCAATCAACTCCATTGAGTAGGGTAAGGAGGTTGTAGAAGACAAGATGGGATGGTGTTGCATTTTTAGTTATTGAAGTTGTCAGTGACTGACCTACATGACCCAGTGCTACCAACAGGGAGAGAAGCCAACTTAAGAGATTCACAATGAGAATGATGGCTGAAGTGAGAACAAGCTGACTGCTTGAATGTTCAAGAGCCTTTGAAAGCATTCAAGAAAGGTTGTTGACTTGCTCGCTGAACTGGCTTGATTTTGCTCAACACAACATGCAGAACCAACACGGTTTACAAAATACCATGCAACGACTGCCACAAACATTACATTGGACAGACAGGAAGGAAACTAGCCATCAGAATACACGAACAACAGCTAGCAGCAAAACGGCACGACAAACTCTCCTTAATATTGGTACACTCAGAAAACGAAGGCCATTAGTTTAATGGGACAAAGTAACCATAATGGCCCAAGCCAAACATAGACACACATGGGAATTCCTAGAGGCATGGTTCTCTACCCATAATGCAATCAAAAAACATACAGAATTGAACCCCATATACAAACCCATACAGATCAAAACCGTAAATAACACTACTCACCAGACAGTATAAATTCCAAGCAAAGTAGAATAACACCACTTTCATTGGAGGCTCCACTGATGATGTCACGTAGCAGGGTGACAAAACGTCTGAACAAAAACAAGCCAGCTCGGCAAGCAAGTCAACAACCTCACCCACAACGCGAGCTACAGATCTTTGCCAAAACGTTAAGCATTCAAGACAAACTCAACTCTCCTATGTTGCATTAATTTCAAACTAAGTAACCTTGAGAAATTTCTCAAAGTACTCAATGTTCCAATGATTATCCTTTCCCATTGAATAAAATGGACTCTTTCACAGGTAACTCGTCACAGTGAACTACTGGGATTTCTTTAAAGAAAGTCATGGACACAAACTGAATTGAAAATGAAAAACTATTGGTGTTTCTCTTAATGTTGTTTGCTGTTTCAATTCAAAGACCTACAAAGTTTTATTCAAAATGGGTTATTTTTCATTACTCATCAAATATGAAATGAAATAAGACATAGGACTTGCATTAAATTACAACATTAAAACATGTTATTTTCAACCAGGATTGGTTATTCTCCATGTAACTAATATTTCATTCTTGCACTGTTTGCATACTATTTTATTCACACTTTCTTCAATCACTAATCTATTCTTACATGTTGACACAGTTGGTGCTTCAACCACTAATTCCAGTAATTTATTCCATTGCCTAACCATCCTCTGTATTAAAAATACATTTTGCTCAGACCTCCTCATTTAAGATCCCACCATCATTAGCTTTTACATACCTATTTCTACTTACTGTATGTTCTATTCACAGTTTCAAGCGCTATTATCAAAACAACTGTAAAATTTCCTTTTTTCCTAAATACTTTTTTTCATTTGTTTTCCCAATGACAGGCAACCTCCTCGTTACTCTGCATTGTATCTGCTCTCTGCCTCAGCATCCTTACTGTAGAGTTGAGCCCAAAACTTGTGACATTACTCAAACTGTGGTCTTAAAGTTTCCTATTAGATTGATCAGCACTTCCTGCCTTTTCTGTGTTCCACTTTCCAAAACACTTTATGGCTTTATCTAATGAACATGAACTCCAAAATGTCTCCGTCCTCACATCTCACCAGCCTTTTCCCCATTCAAGTTATCATTTAGCACCACCTTGAATTCTGCCACTTTAACAAAAAACATTTCATTATCCTCCTGCAGTTTTTTTTGGTCCTCACTTATTTGTCATACCTTGTCTAGCCTCATGATACATACAATGGAGTGATTTCAGAACAGAACTCCACAGACAACTCTACCATCAACAAACAAACCTAAGAAACGGTCTTCACCTACTGTATCCTCCCTTGTAAGCAGTTTTTGAATCAATTTCTTGTAACTCCTCAAAAATCCTGCCCCTTAAATTTATCCAATTAGTTCCTGCAGCATTTTCTCAGACATTGTTCATTTACACCACATCAACTGCATTTCTCCAGTCTCCATATTCTTCACGTGCTCAAAGAGCTCTTACTGGCTCTCAGGTGTGATGTTCCTAACTGAAACAAACTACAGTAAGTTTAACTGTATCCACTTCTTAATAGCTGTTTCAGTGTGTCTTTTATTATTACATCCTCATTAACTGGGAATAAACACATGGCAGAGAACAGCATATTTGTTTTGCGTAATATTAGAGAAATTTCCTGATTGCTTCTTAGTTCACTGTGAAATCATTAGACACATAATTCAGGCAATGAACAACACCAGATAGTCTGATCTTAATACCTCAACACTGGTATACTTACTGGTCTTGAATTGGACTACTATAAGCACCCACATTCAGCAATTTTCTTATCAAGTTACAGATTTGAGAAGTCTCTCCAGGACAGCGGGGCAAACCGTATACTCCTGATGGGGGAAAAGAAGAGATACAGAATTTAGTCTGAAAGGAAGACCCAAAATGACTTTGTTTTCCATCTTTTAAAAAAACAACATTAATTCAAAGGAACTTTGCAGGAAAACAGGGCATATTCAGTAATACACTGAACTAGTGTTGTTGTTTTATTTTGTTCATAGCTCTGTGCACCCCCCCAATATATTAAAAAACTTACAAGTGTGCAAATTCAAACCAATGTAAGAGTTTCACCTTATGAAAACTATACTTCAATAAATCTAAACTTGAATAGAATACAATGTCGTCATAAATGTTACCTTGATGTTGGCCTCCAAATGTAATAAGTTTTAACATAGCAGGAGAAGGACATCTCTGTGCCACAGCTCTCCTATAACAAATAGAAAGCCACAAATGAAAGAAAACTTCCAAGTAAGCAGTCAAACCCCATTTCAACTCCAATTTTGAAAGCACTGAATTTTTTGCAAGTCCAATTTGGTTACACTTACAGAAATTGACCACCTTGAGAGAAGCCCATTGCATTGTATCCATTCTGTAGCTTCTTGTCCTTGGACAATATGTTACACACCAGCTCAACTTGGTCATTTACATTCATGAAGAAACTGTTCTCTATGTCCTAAGAAAAGTGTTCAATGTATAAATATTTGTAGGAACACACAGGAACATAGGAATTAGGAGTGGGAGTAGGCAATTCAGCCTTTCGAATCTGCTCTGCCATTTAACATGATCATAGCTGATCCTATCCTAGTCCCAACTCCACTCTCCTGCCTGCTCCCCATAGCCTTTTATTCCACTTTTCATCAGAAACATATCTATTTCTTTCTTGAATCTGTTAATTGATTCTGCCTCCATTGCACTCTGGGGCAAGGAGTTCTACAGATTTACAACCCTCTGAGAGAAGTATTTTCTCTTCATCTCAGTTTTGAATCTACCTCCTCTAACTCTATAACTTTGACCTCTTGTTCAAGGCTGTCCCATAAGATGGAACATCTGTTCAACATCCACCTTATCAATCCCCTTTAGCATTTTATATCCTTCAATCAGATTCACTCTCTGTTATCTGAACTCCAGTGAGCAAACTATTCGATCACTCCACGTACGACAGCCCTTTCATCCCTGGAATCAACCTGGTGAACCTCCTCTGAACTGCCTCCAGTGCCATCACCTCTTTCCTCAAGTAAGGAGACTAAGGTACGGTCTCACCAATTTCTTATATAATTGGAACAACATTACCTTGCTTTTATAATCCAGTCCTTTTGCAATAGATGCCAGGACTCCATTTGCCTTTCTTATTATATGCTGCCTTTAGTACCTACTTTCTGCAATTCATGCACAACAACACCCAGATCCCTCTGTACTGACACACTTTGAATTTAATAACTTTCCCTTTTATATTTCTGGCCAAACTTTGAGGGGGATATGAGGCAATAGATAATTCTAGACCACAAGTTCTCTTTTTTGAAAATCAACACTTTACAGATGTTTAACATTGCATATTTAATACAAAAATATACAAATTAGACAAAAGCATTACTTTGTAATATAAAACCATTTACAGGTTTGAGAAAACATGCACTACATAGACCAGGAGGTCATAGATTCTCTTTTCTGTTTGTACTGTTAGCTATTCTCAACCAGGATTACTATGGCCTTAGTGCTTTTGGACTAGGCAGTTAAGATCTTTTCCCTAAGGATCTTACTTCTAAATGTATCTTGTACCTTGTCTCAGACTATTTGCAAAAATAGATGAGTGATGAGGTCAGCAAAAACTTTGTTGTATAATGCTTTCACAGCCAAAACCCAGGCCATAGATTCACACATAAATAGGAACAAAACCAGAAGTTGCTGAAAAAGCTCAGCAAGTCTGGCAGCATCTGTGAAGAAAAAAATCAGAGCTAACGTTTCGGGTCTGGTGACCTTTCGTCAGAGTTCTAGATCATAGAATCCCCACAGTATGGAAACAGGCCCTTCGGCCCAACAAGTCCACACCAACCCTTGGATCATCCCAACCAGACCCATCCCCCTATAACCCACCTAAGCTACACATCCCTGAACACTACGAGCAATTTAGCATGGCCAATCCACCTAGCCTGCACATCTTTTGACTGTGGGAGGAAACCAGAGCACCCGAAAGAAACCCACACAGACATGGGGAGAACATGCAAACTCCACACAGACAGTCGCCAGAGGGTGGATTCGAACCCAGGTCGCTGGTCTGTGAGGCAGCAGTGCTAACCACTGAGCCACCGTAAGGGTGGGTTACCGGACCCGAAATGTTAACTCTGATTTTTTCTTCACAGATGCTGCCAGACCTACTGAGCTTTTCCAGCAACTTCTGGTTTTGTTCCTGATTTACAGCATCTGCAGTCCTTTCGGTTTTTGTCACACACAAATAGATTTTGAAAGAGTGTATATTCAGGTTATTTCATCTTCAACTTTTCTTTCTGAAAGCATCTTAAGCACGAGGGTATACTGTCCTGTACCTGGTTCAAACAGACATTCATAAATAACCCAAGAGATAGTTTATCAGCTTCCCAATTAGGAAAACCTGTAATGTTTTGTATGTCACCACAAGCAAACTGTAAGGCAGAGCTACTGTAAAGGTCTCTACTGCACCAAATAATTTGTAGAGAGTAATTTACTAAAGCTGATACACTGGTGCCAGGAATGTAAGTCATTTTGTAATAAGTTATCTTAAAATATCACAATTGTAATGATTTCTAGCTTAACGGATTAAGACACACCTCAGCAATGCTATTTCCAATTTCCAGTGATAAAACATAAATTCCTGGGATTTCTTGTTCCACCAGTTTCTTGATAAATCCCATGCTGAGAGGATTACAGCAACTGTCACCTAAAATTTAAACAATTTGTGCAGAAAACAGAGCAGGTGTTATATAGCTATCCAAATGTATCAAATAGAATTTTACTGAGATAAAACTGTTTAGCCCAAATGATCTGAGGGCATTTTTATTAAATTTGCAGGGGACACAAAGATAGGTGGAAAGACAGGTAGTGTTGAGGGGCAGAGAGGCTGCAGTAGGACTTGGACAGGCTAGGATAGCAGGCAGGGAAGGGGCAGCTAGAATGCAATGTGAGAAAATGTGAGGTTATGCACTTTTATAGGATGAAGAGAGGCAAAAGCTATTTTCTAAATGGGGAGAGACTTTGGAAAGCTGAAGCACAACATGACTTAGGAGTCCTAGTTCAGGACTCCTCAGGATGCAGGTTTAGTTGGCAGTTAGGAAGGCAAATACAATCTTAGCATTCATTTCAAAATAGGCTAGAATACAAAGAACAAAGATGTACTGCTGAAGCTGTACAAGTCTCTGTTCAGACCCAATTTAGAATATTGAGATACCAAGGTGTAGAGCTGGATGAACACAGCAGGCCAAGCAGCATCAGAGGAGCAGGAAGGCTGACGTTTTGGGCCTAGACCCTTCTTCAGAGTTCTAGATCATAGAATCCCCATAGTATGGAAACAGGCCCTTCGGCCCTTCATTTCTGAAGAAGGGTCTAGGCCCGAAACGTTAGCCTTCCTGCTCCTCTGATGCTGCTTCGCCTGCTGTGTTCATTCAGCTCTACACCTTGGTGTCTCGGATTCTCCAGCATCTGCAGATCCTACTATCTTAGAATATTGAGAGCAGTTTTCGGCCCCATACCTAAAGGGAGGATATGCTCACTTGGAGTGGGTCCAGAGGAGCTTTACAAGAATGATCCTGGGAATGAAGGGCTTGTAATACAAAAAGAGTGTTTAAGGACTCTGGGTCTGTACTCGATGGAGCTAACAAAGATGAGGAGGCTCTCATTGAAACTGAGAGGCCTGGATACAGTGGATGTGGAGATGTTTCCATGAGGAGGAGAGATTAGGACCCAAGGGCACATCCTCAGAGCAAAGGGACAACACTTTAGAACTGAGATGAGGAGGAATTTTCAGCCAATGGATGGTGAACCTTTGGAACTCATTGCCACAGAAGGCTGTGGAAAACAAGTCAGTCATTGTGCATATTTAAAACAGATAAATAAGTTCTTATTAGTAAAGGGATCAATGGTTACAAGGAAGAAAGGGGAGAAAGGGGTTAGAAACACATCAGCCACAATTGAATAACAGAGTTGACTTCATGGACCAAATGGCCTAATTCTGCTCCTATATCTTATAGTTGTGTTCCTTCTCTGCCCTACTTCATCTAAGCATACCTGCTCCCTATTTTTTCGCTCAATGTATTTTTAAACATCTATAGGATTCACCTCTACGTGGTAGCAAGTTCCCCACTCTAAACATTGAGTAGTGAGTTTGTTTTTTGAGGAAGTATTCCAATTCGTCGAGATAGAATCAAATACAAATAATAGGCTTTTTTTTGCCAGAACATTGTAACTGGCAAAATCAAAACATGTAAACCGTACGTCTCCTTTCGAATACAGCAGATATTTTCAAGCTATTGCAAAATGGTTTGCGTATTCTCAAGCGTCGATTAGATGTTTAGTATCCTACTTTAAACAAAGACAGCTTTCACTTTTACTGTTTCAACGCTTGGTTATATAGTAATAGGATTTGCCTGACTTGATCCCACGAGGCAGCTTAAACAGAACGCCCTTTATACAGGAGATTGGTGTTTTTAAATCTGTGAAATCGTGCATCATCTCTTCTAAAGGGCACATCGAAAATGACAGTATATTTCGAGAATTTTAAACGAACGATCTACACAGTCTGGAAACACTTTCAAATACTAAGTGAAATACTTAAACATGTAAATTTAAACAAGGGATCAGCTGGCAGTCGGGAGAGCGATACAAACACTCGGTGTGCTTCAGCGATCAGTCAGTCCAGTTTACAAACCGTAGTAAGTGAAACGCACAAACATACGATCAAACAAGGGATTCACCTGCGATCAGCCAGTCCTCAGTTAACTCCGTTTCTAAGTCTGTTAATTTGAGAGAACATTTTCACCGCCGTCTTACCCATGCCATGCCAAATGACCACCGGTACCGGCTCCGTGTCGTTGTGGGTGGTCTTCCCCGACACGGTTTCCCAAACAAAGCAAAAACAGAAAAACAGAAACATCCACCCTCTTCCCTGCGCAGCCATCTTACTCAGTCATATGACCCGTGCTCGTCATGTGATCGTACAGTTTGTAATCGGTCAAAAATGACCTAAAGTTGTTGCATTGTGTGTAAATGAACATTAGTAGTATTCATTTAGATACTTCAAGCGTAATGAGTCATTTTCAGTTCACGCTTCAATAAAATGCGGTTCACTTTGTGTAATCTATGTACTCATATTATGAAAGTTACTGTTTTTGAATGTAATCATGAGAAGAGTGGGTACCTTTTACATAGAGTCCATGCTGTTACATAATAATAAAAATGTGCAAGTGAATTGTTTAGACTTCTCAAATTTTGAGAAGCACGAGCAGAACAATCTTATAAAATTGCAAAGTCTAGCCGGATCCATCCGGTATGCTGCAACTTGATTCCCCACACCACCGTCAAAAGCCTAAGCCAATTCAAAAGGTGAAGCAAAATCTGGGAAATCTCTCTTTGATTCCCAAAGTTATTCAAAATAAGTTCAGTCATCATAACAAACATGCTATCAGCGATTAACATTAAAAACCCTATTTAAACTCTGGTGCTTTTTGCAAATGCTGCCAACTTGCATCAAATGTGAATGACCCTTTGCAAAAAGAAAGAAAAACCTTGACACCGAAGGTTTGTGTCTTCATAATGGACGTTTGATTCACCTTAAACTAATTTCAATAATCTTTCCACATTGACAGCATAGTCTTCAGATTATTTTGAAATTGTCAAAAACATCTCCTGAAGCCTATATTGTTCCTTTATTAAAAGCAATCTTCTAAGCTTATTGTGGTCACTAATATACTTCAAGGTCTTTTTAAATTTACCTTATTCTTACTATATCAGCTCTGAGCCATAAGATGACCAAGACTGGACATAGTATTCTGATGAGCACGAACCAAAGTCCATTCATGTGTAAGAGCAATAATATTTTATTTTTTTTCCCTAGAACTACATGTCAACAAAATATTTGTACAGATTTAAAAGGAGTTATTTTGTTTGTCTCTTTTTTGTATAAAAGACAAGATTATATATATATTTCATAAAGATATGAAAGTTGGTACTCACTTGACACGACAAGAAAGTATAGGTCATTTTACCTCATTACTGACGAACTTTATCCAGTCCTAATCCAGTTTCTAAATTATTCTAATTAAGCCATTGAATTACCCCCAAGGATAATTCAAGCAACAGTAACAAATACTGTTTCAAATTGTGGGCACCACGTTTTAGAATAGATGCAAAGGCATTACAAGATAGTGCAGAAAAGATTTGTTAAATTGCAATTAATGGTTCCAAAAAGGAACTTCATAGATTGGAGAAGTTAAGACAGTTTTCCTTGAAGAGAAGGCCGAGAGAAGGTTTAAAAAAGTATTCAAAATAATGATGTCTGAAATAAGTAGATGGGGAAAATTCTCCCCACTCACAAAAGGACAGAAAATCTGCCACAGATTGAGTTAATTGGCAAAAGCAGCCATAGCAACATGCAAAATAAAAGTTTTTACACAGCAAATATTATGATTTGGAATGATTACCTTGGTGTGGTGAAAGTAGGTTCAATTTGCAACATTCAAGAATGAATAAAATTATTGCAGGGAAAAGGCAGGGGATTGGAGACAAGCAAGTTGCTCACTGGGAGATCAGGTGTATGCACTTTGGGCTGAATAGTCTCTTTGTGCTATAACATTTCTGTGCTTGTGATTACTGATACAAGAAATATATATTCTGACCTGTAGGGAAACACTGAAGAGAACAACTCTTGCACGTGTCCAGAAGGGGATTATAGAGCAAAGTTCAGGTTAAACATGAAACATGAGTGAGGTGGATGGGCAAAATAATAAAAAAAGTTCAAAAGGAGGAGAACACATTACAAAAATAGTGGTATTTATAGAAGATACAAGAATTTGGGTGGCTAATCGAATGACATGCCATTAAATACCATCAATATTAGACACTAATGGGGTTATTGATTTATACAATGAATTATAACTTGAAAGTGTGAAATCCTTATAGCTCCATACTAATCATTACTGGATAACTAACTGCACCCTTTTGGCAAGTTGGTGTGGAAAAGAAATCACTTCACTGGTCCATAGTAAGATCAAAGGTTTCTAAAACTTTGCCACTTTTTTTAGCCATGATGGTGGTGGTTCTCAATGCGGCAAAGACCATGCCTTTCAAAGTTGGACAGACAGACAGTTGGGCAGAAGTTCATGTTCCACATTCGTGACCAAATAAAGCATGCTCCAGCAAGGAGCAACTGGTGGTCACAGACATTTGAGCAATGATAGCCACTTTCCCTTCTCCCCCTTGGACTCAATTGTTAGAGTTGAATTCCTACAGTGTGAAGACAGGCCATTCGGCCCAACAAGTCCACACTGTCCCTCCGAAAAGCATCCCACCCAGACTCATTCCCCTACCCCGATTTCCCATGTCTAACCCAACTAACCTAAACATCCCTGGGCACTATGGGCAATTTAGCATGGCCAATCCACCTACCCCGCACATCTTTGGACTGTGGGAGGAAACCGGAGCACCTGGAGGAAACCCATGCAGACACGGGGAGAACGTGCAAACTCCACACAGACAGTTGCCAGAGGCTGGAATCGAACCCGGGTGTCTAGCACTGTAAGGCAGCAGTGCTAACCACTGAGCCACCGTGCCGCCCCAGGAAGTCCTGTGGACCAGGAAGTCCTGAATAGGTTCCCAGTGTAACAAATAAAAGGAAGCAAAATTCAACATGAAACTGTAGAATTTTTGTTTGATAATACTTCAAAACACCACTTAACAGTTAACAGAGATCAGAATGAAAATGGTGCACTCTCAGAAATAAATGTGCAAATTTTTCAAGTGTACTTGCAAAATTTTCTGTACTGTATTTTAAAACTTTAAAGAGTTAGTTTCTTTTTAAGAGTTGATTTATAGTACAGCAAGCTGTGTTTTAACTAGCACCTTATGAAAGGCACTCGATAAAGCAGCAAAAGTTATAAACCTCAAATACCATGAAGTTTGCTGTATTATTCTGTTCAATTATAGTTTAATTTATTTACCTCAATGTAAACATACTCATGGTTCAATTTGGTGAATGGCCACAGGAAATGTCAACAGTTGATTCAATTTTGAGTCAATTTCTCCTCAAATACTACAGCATCCAAGTAGTGAAAGTGCGAGCGAGAAGGCTCTCTGTCGGTAAGTTTTATTTAGGTGATTTATACTTTAAAGTATAATAGTGGTGTGTATAGCCCTGCTTTACATTTTTATTACTTAGTGTGTGTTTATATTGATTATATGGGTGTCTTGACTATCTGGAATAGTTGATTAATTGGCACGCACCTGGTCCCATAGATGCCAGATAATAAAAAGTTTACTGTAATTTCAGACCTTAAAGGTCACCCACTACAATATTCTATCTACCAGTTTTGGCATCTGTTTTCTAGTTTTCTATGGTGCCTGGTGGATAGATCATGAGATGCAAAAATGACATTTGAAAAAAGAGTTACGAATTAATGCTGTATGAATGGTGACTTTTAAAAAAAATCCAATCTAAGTTGCCACAGAGTACGCTATTACAGCAAGCAATTTCTGGCCCATTTGAGTTTTTGAAGCATATGACAAGTCAAGTAATCTGTGTATGGCTTGGGTCTGCTATTTCACTTAATGAGAAAAATCCATTGTTAAAAGGTAAGAAGCAATAATGCCAATAAATTCACTTAGTGCAGCTTCAAATAATACAAGGTATCACATAACACAAGGTGCTTGCTCTTAAATGTTTCAAGTGCCATTTCAGCATTAGCTTAAACTTTCCCATAGGAGTCAAGAGTGTCAGTGACCTATTCAGCAAAGGGAATCATCAAACAAAGCCTGATCCTTTTCTCATCCAATTTGCAATTCTTCAGCAGGGGTTACCAATGATTGTTCATGATGATTATAGAACTACCAAAGCCATGCCTGATGAGCTAACTCATCAGAAAGTAATACTTTCTTGTTCTGAATGGCTCATTCCTGAACAACTGATTCCACTTTCAAAACCATTATTTGGCTCATTTGGCATCAGCTTTAAAGAAAGGTCCAAATTATTCCTGGACTCTAAATGTTTTCTGCATTAGAAATTGAATTGTCTAGCAATTCAAATTAAGCAACATAAGGTATGAATTGAGTTCCATCATTACAAGTACTGTGAATTCAGTTAAAAAAGTAGATGACACTGTGGAAAATCACAAACTTTGAACAGACGCTTCTTCAAACTTGACTAATGTGCCAGTTGTTTTTAAACACAGCTTTCTAAGCTCTTAAGTGGGTTAGTGATGGAGGTGAACCAATTAATTGACAGCTTAAGGATCACTTCAGGTAAGGAACTATGTTATTAATGAACCATTCCTTTGAGAATTGAAGGTGGTCCCCATCTACGGTTAGAAATCCCAATTTGCCCACTTTGTCCATTGCCTTCAGTCCCAATCGATCCTATGAATACAACAGGAGTTAATTATTTTCCAGGCCTCTGCTGCCTATAAAAGCATTCTACTATTGCCAGGTGCTGAACCTCGCTCAACTGGTCATTAATAATGTCTGAGCCTCAACAAGGTCCTATTCCAGCCAAGTGAGAACTAATCCTTGCATGATCTGCACTCCAAGAAGATACCCTTTCTATCACAGTGTTACCCTGACAATGAACAGGAAATCATTTACAGAATAAGTTCAACATGGCCCATCCATTGGTGAGAAACCTGTTACAGGGGAGGCTTTCACATTTTACATTCAAAGCATCTTTTGGAAAATATTAAGTGCAATACTGAAGACATGTACCTCCACGTGTCCATATTGATTTTACAAGGTTAACCTACAATATTTCTAATAGTGTGGTAAAAATATTTACTTAAAACCAAGGGCACACAACAACAGTATCCTTATTAGAATTTGCCCCCTCATAACTATGGCCAAGGAAAACATTTGCTGCCCTTTATCTCACCTTGATGATATCAGTACATCTATTAAATCTTCTGACCTCAACCAACTTAAGTACCAATTTAATTATTTCTAGCTGACTCTTTACTCCATCGTCATCCCAGTGAACGTGTTATATCCTTTCTTAGAATGTTCCCAAAAGTGGTACATGATATTCTGTGACTCATTTGTAGAAGTTAAAATAATCTCCTTGTTCCTGAATCCTGTACTTCTGGTTACAAAACCAAATATTCAGCTTATTCGATGATCTACTTCTATTTACTGCCTCTTTTTAAATTACTTGTACAGTTACATGCCTCAGTCTTTAAAAAATACCATATTCCAAAAATGCATATTTCAACATGGAAATCTAGCATTGCTGGCAATGATTCCCTTCTATAGGCTGCACTGTTTTGTGTCCCCATCCCAGTCAAATCAAAGCCAACAAACTGTTCCCATTGTTAAGGTCAAGAATCAAAGGACATGGATTAAGTTCTAGATTCTAGATTCCCTACATTGTAGAAGCAGGCCATTCAGCCCATCAAGTCCACACCGATCCTCCGAAGAGCATCCCACTATCTCTGTAGCCCCACATTTTCCCCATGGCTAATCCACCTAGCCTGCACATTCCCAGACACTATGGGCAATTTAGCATGGCCAAATCACCTAACCTGCACATCTTTGGACTGTGGGAGGAAATCAGAGCACCTGAAGGAAACCCACGCAGACACAGGGAGTATGTGCAAAATCCAGTCACCCGAGGCTGGAATCAAACCCGGGTCCCTGGCTCTGTGACGCAGCAGTGCTAACCACTGTGCCGCCCTAAATGATTGGCGAAACGAGAAGTGACATCAGGAAGTGTCTTTAAAACAGGAACACAACTGAAATCAGGATCAGACAGTGCAGTGGAGCAGATTCAATTGCAGCTTTCAAAACAGGATTGGAATTGTCTCAAGAAAAACAATTGCAGCGCTATGGGGGAAAAGGACTAAATAAGTAACTTTTAAGAGCACTGGCACAGACATGTGGCTGAATAGGCTCTTCATATGCTATAATCAGCAATTAGAAATAATTTAACTGACAAGAACTTAATGTTTTACACTATTAGTCTCACTGTTGAAAGGATTTTAACTTACACATTTAATGGGACGTAGATAAGATTCTTCCACCCCCCCAACCCCCGCCCCCCTATCGCAGGACTGGCTGAATGGTTTCTTTATGTGCTCCATTCAGCAATTAGAATGTTAAATTTCAAATTTGGTCTCACATCTCTGCATATCCACGGAACTCTTTACTTAATACATTCCTTTTCAAAGGTTCAAATTTGATCTGCAATGCTTCCAACACCAGGTTACTTTCTGTTGTGGACCTGTCATTTTGATTTATCTCAGTTAGCTCTCTTATCTTGCAGTCTGGTGTGTCATTTTGCAACTGGCTACCACAGCCCTAATTTCACATAGCAATTTTACAGTCAGATTCAAATGCAGGCTGCTGAAAAACAAACAGTTTGGAGTCCACTATATCATTCAGGTCCCCAGGGTTACTCCTCTCTACAGAACAGAAGAAATAAAAATGTAGCATCATAACACATCTTACCTCTTGATAAAGGACACTCTCCTGCAAGCTGTAAGTGTCCTTGGCCTGGCCAGTTTTGTAGAAACCAAACCACTGGAACAAAACACAGGAATGAATTTGGTCATTTTATTGCTCAGATTCACTTGGAAATCCCTACTTAACCTTCCAACTGGGGTAACTGAAAGAAGGAACACTCATCTGTATGTTTACCATTTGTTAGTCGAAGATTAAAACACTTCAGATCTCCTACTTTGTATCCATTGTTTAGGGGCAGGTTAGCACTGCAAAAGCTAAGGGGAATGCAGCTGAGACAGAATAAGACAAAGTTGCCATAGTCCCAGAAGACCACAGCCTGTCCTCCCAGAGGCGCAATGGTCAGTTTAACCAGACAGTCACTGCACCTCAGGAGAGAAGGGAGGTTGAAGGTATGGGGACTCTATAGTAACCTCAAATAGTACAGAAATTGAACCCATATTGATGGCATTACTCTGCAAAACACACCAGACGTCCAGCCAAATTAGTTAACTGGAGGCAGGTTGGGGGCTTAGTTACACAAGAGGTACAGCTACCAACGCTATCATGAATATAATGACGTAGAAGAGGCCAGAATCAGTGGAAGAGTTTGCTTGGCTGGTCACAAAATTAGTAGGCAAAGCCACAGGCGAATTTAAGTACAAGGAAGAGCACATTGAAACTTGAGGCATTGTGGGACTGGGAGCTATTGCAGACTTGCATTAGAATAGGATGTCACTGAAAAGCAATAAGTATGTGGATACAAGGAATAAACCAAGAACAGATTATTTGGGCATTCCGGAGATAACCATGCAGGAGTGGGGAGAAAAACAGATAGGCAACTGTAGAACGTAGTAAGAACGTGTAATTTTGGTTCAGTTCATTTCAAGGAATTGTTTGTTGAGAGAGAGATTCAAAAGGGTTATGTAAAAATGGGTACAGATAAAAACATGTTCATTACTTTTGGGGGCTCAGTCTGCCCTTTCCCAAAGTATTTACTTAAAATGAGGAATATGTATGGCAGTCTTTGAACAGGAGGTCAGTACCTGACAGGCAACTATCAGCTAAATCATACAACATGGAAACAAGGAAAGATAGTTGAATGTTCAGAATATCTAGTGTAAAGACAGTCAAGGGAGCAGGATAATATTTATTGACAAAGCATGAAAAGGAGATTGAAGAGAAAAATGTAATTCAGGGCCAAGTGATCAAGGGGAGGCAGCAATAGGACTGCTGTATACATGGTCTTCACTTAGTGGCAAAGTCTATGATCTTCCACAATTGTTGGTGTCAAAAATGGAAAGGGCATGTGAAATATTTCAAATGATTATGAAGAAATCAAGCTACTGCAGAACTACTGCTTCTGTGGGTTGATGGGTCGAGCCACAGCTTATCTTCATGTTTAAAGTTTTGGCAAAGATCTGTAGCTCAGGTTGTGGGTGAGGTTGTTGACTTGCTCGCCGAGCTGGCTTGTTTTCATTCAGACATTTTGTCACCATGCTAGGTGACATCATCAACGGAGCCTCCAACGAAGCATTATTCCACTCCGCTTGGAATTTATACTGTCTGGTCTGTTATGGTGAGTAGTGTTATTTACGGTTTTGAACTGTATGGGTTTGTATATGGGCTCCAATTCGATTGGTTTGTTAATTGCCTTACAGGTGGAGAACCATGCCTCCAGGAATTCCCATGCATGTCTGCGTTTGGCTTGGGCTACTACGGTTACTTTGTCCCAGTTACACTGATAGCCTTCATTGTCTGAGTGTACCGATATTAAGGAGAGTTCGTCGTGCCATTTTGCTGCTTGATGTTCGTGTATTCTGATGGCTAGTTTCCTTCCTGTCTGTCCATTGTAATGTTTTTGGCAGTCGTTGCATGGTATTTTGTAAACCATGTTGGTTCTGCATGTTGTGGGAATGGAGTCTTTAATCCTTGAGCATGTTTATCGTAGAATGGCTGTGGGCTTGTGTGCTACCATGATTCCTAGTGGTCTTAGGAGTCTTGTTGTCAGTTCTGATATGTTCTTAAATGTAGGGCAGTGTGGCCAAATGTGTTACGGCGTACTGTGTCCTCCTATTATCGTCTGTTTAGTAGGCATTTGTGGATGAAGTTGTGGGGATATCTGTTCATAGTGATGACTTTGTATAGGTTATTTTCATGTTGTAATTTCTATATAGTTTTAAAAATGTTAGAGGAGGGGCCAGTGGGAATGTGCCAACTAATGACTGTTTACCAGAGTCAATTAAACCTCCTCCTTATGTTTAATAACTGCCTACAACCTGCTAAAACAAAAACGTGGCAGGAAATAGATGAAAAACAGTTCTGATAATTGACATTTACTGAACTACAACAACTGCAACCCGACTCATAGCAGCAACAAGTTAGAAGAGGGAAAAAACATCCATTCTCACTTCTGAATCAACTGGATCAACCACAGAATCCTTCAAGAATTTCACCATTACAAACTTACTTAGCTTCATCAGATTCTCCTTATAACTTTCATTGATTCTCTGTAACAGAAAAGAGATGGTTATTGGAATCCAACTCAAATTTAACATTTTAAAATCCAGACTTAAATATCATGACATTTTAATTTTATTTGCAAATAATTACATACAAGCATTACAGTTAGGAATAGGCCATTCAGCCCCAAGCCTGTTGTGCAATTCAATAAGATCTAGCTGATCAGTTGT